TCCCCCTGCCTCAGCCTCCCAAAGTGCTGGGATTACAGGCATGAGCCACTGTGCCTGGCCACTGATACTTTTATAATGCCATTATACTCATAGACTTCATTCTTTTAAAATCACTTTACAAATACGATTTTCTCAAAGGTAGATGCAAAATCTTATTTGCCAATTTTAAGAAAAATTGCTCTCTTCTCTACTACAGAAAATGATTTATGAACAATTATTTGATATATTTTTTAAAAGATAGGACGGACTGGATGCAGTGGCTCATGCCTGTAATCCCAACATTTTGGGAGGCCAAGGTGTGTGGATTGCTTGAGCCCAGGAATTTGAGACTGACCTGGGTAATATAGTGAGATCCTGTCTCTACTAAAAATAAAAAGCATATGCTGGGCATGGTAGTTCATGCCTGTGGTCCCAGCTACTTGGGATGCTGAGGCAGGAGGATTGCTTGAGTCTGGGAGGTTAAGGCTGCAGTGCACTGTGATTGTGTCACTGCACTCTAGCCTGAGTGACAGAGCAAGACCGTCTCAAAAGCAAACAAATAAATGCTAAGATAATTTAAATCTCATAAATAATTGACCAATAATTTATTTTATTTTCATCTCTTTATGAGTAAAAAACAGTAATGCTTTATTTCCTACTCAATTCCTTCTCTGATGATCATGTGTTTTAGAAACTATTCAAGTGTATCTGCTAAATTTTAAGTAAAGAATTGAGTATAAGTAATTGTCTATAGCACAATTTTGCTTAATATGTTTTGTATACTGTTGTAACAACTCTCAGACAGGTGAAATATATAACTTTTATGTAGTTGCTAATGCTTGAGGTGTTTTTCAAAGATTCACATAAAGTTTACCCGATGTTTTTCTTCAACTGCCGTTCGTTATAAAAAGTCCCCCAGTGGTTCAATTTTAAGTTTTCATTAGGAACTCGTTAATTTTTTATTCTTAGTTATTCTTACTACTCAATCTTTTATTTTCAAAAATTCTCATCTATGATTTTATAGGGACGTTTACAGTTAATTTCTGGAGATATTATAATTTATCTTTTATAAGTTGTTTCAATTTGGGATGACCTTGTCCATTTCCTCTTCCCCTGACTTCACCTTTTTGTGTTGTCATGACTATGTCTAACAAGTCCTTTGCCTATTTTCCTATGTGCCCTTGAGATTCTTTCCTAAGCTTTTAAGGGATCAACTCATTATAAATCTCAGTCTGTTTGCTTTTGCATATGCAGTTTTCATCTTTCCCCAGATAGCAAGGGCACTCCATTTTGATTTTGTTCCTGTATCACAGCAGCAAGCGGAGAAGGATGGGAAAAGGGTTAAAACATTTATGTAGCTTGTGTTCCTAAAAATAGCTATCATCCGAAATGGAAAAACTCTTCATGTGCGCTCCTTCCCCAGCTTTTAACTGCCTGATAATGTGAGTCAGGTGCAGACACTGCAGCACTATTCTGAAAGACCCTCATTTAGTACATAAGTGTGACAGACTATAGTGGCTTGTTAGATCATAAAGTATGAAAGCTCAGGATCTTCCCTGTCCCCTAACCCAGCACCACTTTTCCTTGACCATCTTGGTGTGTCCGAAAAGCACCTTCAGAGTCCTGGTGACAAGGACGGGGGAAATTGGCTGAGATGGAGCGCTCTAGGTAGAAGAGATAGAAGGGTCAGAAAGGTACATGAGGTAAGAGGTTGGCCACAGACTCTTCCTACTTCTTTGCCCTTGTCCTGCCCCAGGGCTCTTCACTTTCTTTTAGAACTTGAAAAAGTCGACTAATATTTTACACAAATGAAAAAATGTGTAATATATATATGTATATGGTTAATGATGCAAAATAAGAAAATGAACATTTATAAACCCACAACCCAAATTAACAACTAGAATATTATTAATGACATGCCAGATTTCCAGCCAACATGGAGTAGCAGAGACTGGATTTATCTTCTCACCTGAAACAAAATTAAACTAAACAAAAGAACAAAATACATGAAACAATGTTTTTTTGAAACTGTGGACATCAGGCAACAAAAGACAGTCATCTCTGAGAGAGATTTTTTTAAAAAGATGAACCCTGCAATTGCCTCACCTACTGCATTGAGAGGGTCTCCAGGCTGTGGTACAGGGAGGGGAACTCGGCAGATCCCAGTGGAGCCCCAGAATTGAGGAGACAGAGCTGAGTCTGGAGAGACCAAGGTGGCTAGAGAGCTCGTGGACCAAAGAAATGGAAATGAAAAAGCTGCACACAGAGAGAATTCCAGAGATCTGCTGAGGTCCCCACCAAGTATTCAGCAGAGTAGTAATCAGTGTGTTGATCTAGAAGGAAGAGGCTGAAGCACAAGATATACTTTAAAGAGTTTACTT